AGGTCATTGGCTTCCCGGGCTTGTGCCTGTTTTCGTGACATACCTTGTGCCTTTGAGCTTATTGTCACCAGACATTGGAGAATGCCCATTGGCGTGAGACATTCAGTGACTATGCAGTTACATTTACAACTGTTTGTAAGGTTGCGGTTTCATTAATAGCCACTCATCTTTTCAGTTTTTGTGCCTTTCTATAAAGACATCTAAAACCCCATGTATTTTTCCAGATCTTTTCCGCTTTCATGCCATTTTCTTTTTTTTTTTTTTTATTTTACTTAGTTTATTTGTTATGTTATTTGAATGAGAACTTTCAGATTTCTGAAGTAAGTGTTTATCAAAGAGCAAAGAAAACAATGACTCATTCCAGGTATTCTGGACTCTATTTTTATCTTCAGAGGGGGCATTAAGTAGGTGTGTTTTTTCCTTTATTTTTTTTTCTTTTTTTTTCATTTATTTTTATTAGTTGGAGGCTAATTATTTTACAATATTGTAGTGGTTTTTGTCATACATTGACATGAATCAGCCATGCCATTTTCTATTATATTTTTGTAGTATTTTTAAGCTCCCTAGCATGGAGCTTAAGAAGCTATGCACCTTCTTGCTCCTTTGGATGTTTTTTTCTCTGTTGGATTTGTGGGGAAGGATGCCCTTCAGGCCAGCCCTCCTTTTGCTCCACATTTCCTCTTTCTCTTCCCCATTTTTTGGGTTAAAGTAGTATACAGAACACCTCTGCATTTTCTAAATTTTTCTGTCATTGCTCATTGCTTCCCTTCTCCATTTTTCTAGTCTTCCAAGGCTTCTTTTTTTGCTAATTTGGGTACTGGTTTTTTTTTTTTTTTTTTTTTTTTTTATGTTTATAGCCATTGTTTCTTGTTATTTGCTTTTTAAGTTTTCTGATAAGAGAAGAATATTCATCCTAAGACTTTCTGAAGGCTAAGATGACTCAGGAATAAAATCTGCAATGTGATTCCTCCCTTCCTCCCACCTCAGACTTGACTTTATTTCATATGGTGAGGTTTGCAGGTGTGCAGCTTTTTCCACTAACAGCCTTCAGGGTTGGGCACACTTTTGTGGCTATAACCGACTGAGGTTGTCACTAAAATAAAATAAGAAATAAGGAGGTTATTACCTTGCTGCTCCTCTGTTATGTTACCTGAGATATAAATAATGTTTGCCAAGGAAAAACAAAAACACTGTCACCAGAAGATGAATTCTTACCCTTCTCCAAGCTTTAAAATAAATTTTTGTAGAATTATAAAGTGGGAAGGGTGTAGGGCAGAGAAAGAAACCTTTTAAAACAAAGTTCAAATCAATAATAATTAACATTCACTGGCCTCTCTTTTCCTGCTAATAACTGAAGACAAGTACTAATTAGAGAAGCCTCAAGTGTCTGGATTTCTGGATGTACCAGATGGCTGCATGAGAACTATGCATCGTGCCAGGGAGAAGCCTGGGTTGCTCTTAGCTACCGCCTCCCCTCCATTTTGATCTTGTCTGAGGATCCTTAAACATGCCCATCACTGTACACTGAGGCTTTTTCTTTGTTCTTTCTTCTCTTGTCTTACCCACTTCTGGTTTCAGGAGGTACATCTGCCATGCTTAGTGAGTGCTCTTGTAAGCTTTTATTTTTACTTGTTCCTTAACAAACTCTTTTCTTTTCAGATTTCCTTTGACTCTTATGCTTTTGTCTGATGTCACCAGATCCTTCCCTCTCTCCCCATTTGTTCTTTTTCAAGATCACACAAAATGAGCACAGAACCCTTCAGTTGCTATCATTAATATAGTTCTGCCTCTTCATTTTTTTTTTTTTTTTGGGTAAACTCTTTTCACAGATTGTCTCAAAACATATGTTTTCTTCTTTGGGTTTGTACTTCAAATATTTTCTTCCTCTGTGATTAACTCTGCTAACGAACTCTGAGAAAGCTTTGATTTTTGTATAGAAATTTTCAATCCTGTTGAGTGTTGATATTGTTTTGACAAATGCTGCCCGTGCGTTTTCGACAAGATGAAAATCATTCCTATTAGTATGACAAAGCCTGGAACTGATTACGCTTAACTAGATTCTTGCTTTTCATTGGAGTTGTTTTACTGGGACACATTCTTTCACTTCATTTGTTGTGAAAGTCATGATAAAGTTGCCCTTGGTAAAGAAAATTGGTCTTGATTTGGTGTTTTTTTTGTCAGAACTTTCTCTGATGGAACCCAGAAGAAAGTAAAGATTGGTTACCATCAACATTTTTGGCTAAGTGAGAAGTATGACTTCCTTTCTTTCCCCATGTGTTTCTTGCTCCTGCTGAAGGGTCGTTGCAGGGAAACCAGTTAGGAAGCTGATGCAGTGATTCAAGCAAGAGCTAAGAGGGCCTGATCTTTTGGAACAACATAAGGCAGTGAGAATAATTTGCATTTTCTTAAAAAATGTAAACAAAAAGTTTTTTTAACTTAAATTTCATAATGTTGTAAATGTTTTTAGAGTTTAGAAACCACAGTTTTTAGGGCTCTATTTTCTTTTTAACATGTCCTTTTGATATATAGCTAACTAAGCAATTTATCACATCCTCCACTTAATGTATTTCCTAGTTTTGGAAACCATCTACTTGATGTCTATTGCAACTTAAAAAAAAAAAAAAACTTGCATGTTTTTCACCTCTTGATTATAAAAGTAAAATTAAACAGAAATAACTTGTACTGTCACCTAAGGATAAAAATTAACATTTCAGTACTAGTTTCCTTTGGTTTTTCCTCTTAGTTTTTGTAGCTATGTAAATAATTGTTTGAGCCAATATATTAGTCTCTCATGTCCAACTCTGTGATCCCATGGACTGTAGCCCACCAGGCTCCTCTGTCCATGGAATTCTCCATGCGAGATTACTAGAATGGGCTGCCATTCCCTTCTCCAAGGGATCTTCCCAACCCAGAGACTGAACCCGATGCCATATATATTTTAGTGTTATTCTACTGTTGATCCTTTAGGTTGTTCCCAACTCCGTTTTTAAAAAAAAGTGTGTGTGTGTGTGTGTGTGTGTATGTCTGGCTGCCCTGAGTCTTCAATACTGCTGTGCACAGGCTTTCTCTAGTTGCGACGTGAGGAGGGCTGTGCTGTAATTGCCATGCGGGGGCTTCTCTTGTTGTGGAGTATGGGCTCTAGGTTCGCAGGCTTAAGCAGTTGTGGCTCAGAGTACTGGCTCAGTAGTTGTGGCTCACAGGCTTAGTTGCTCCATGGCATGCGGGGTCTTCCTGGACCAGGAATTGAAGCTGTGTTCCTTGCCTTGGCAGGCGGATTCTTGAACAGTAGATCACCAGGGAAGCCCCAACTCAATGTTATTTTAACAGATGCTATGGCCAGTATTTTCATGAATAGTAAATCTTCACACATATCCTCAGTATAATGGCTTCATTTATATCCTTAGAATAATATCCTCAGGATAAATTTTTTAAAGTCGAGAATTTCTTTGAAAGCTTGAGTTGAAGTGTAAAATGTGAATGAACCCTAATGGATGAAATTTCTGGCTTGTTGAAGAAGTGGAAGTAATGCTTAGTTGCTATGCATTTCCTATATCCACCTCCTGTTTACCTGATCCCTACCTTGGTTTCAGTAGATTAAAAAAGAATCAATATGCAGGAGGCCTAATAACCTGATGGATATGTAAAAAGTGAGGGCTATGTTCTTGATATATCAGAGTATAGAGAAATTTGGAGGAAAAGATACAGAGCACAGTGATGGGGATCCCCCTGCCTCCCCCTGATTCATTCTCAGATGAATATTAGATATACATCTCCACTTACTATTTCATTTTTGGATTCCCACATGTTTACTGACTCTTCCTTGGACTTTTTTTTTGATCAGAGAAGATGGCTTTTATGTACCATGACCTGTTTTTTTTTTTCCAGCTATTTGAGAGCTATGCATAATAATGAAATTGATTCTTGTTAATCCCCATTATTCTTTCATTATGGGAGGAGTATGATTTGGGCATACATGGTAGAATAGCATAAAAAGGGGTGGTTAACCTCAAAAACTTCTGAAGTGTTCCATTACTAGTTTAGGAGACAAATATAATACAACTCCCTTTGTACCAGTCATTTCCTTTGCAGATAGTGCTTTGCTTTGGGTATGACATCTATTAAACTGAGTACTCTCAGTCTTCAAGATTAATATTTTTTCTTGGCACCAGAAAGATAATTTTTTTACCTCAACAATGTTGATCTTAGTTGATCCTTTTTACTCTGAGGGTTTTTTTTTAATGTTGATATAAAAAATTATTTATTTTGTCCTTTTTAAAAATGAGTTTTAAAATAGCAGACTGACTTGGGACATTTGGTATTGCTATAAAGTACACTTTTCCTCTATGAATAACTTTAATTTTTAGAATTTCTAGTTGTTAATATTTTCTTTTTCAAATTTCCATATTGAAATTAATGATCAATCTTAAAGTAAAATTATTTCAGCAATTGCAGTTCTCTCACGATCCTAGGAAGCTAATAACAGGAATAATTTAAAATGGTTACAAATAGCATTTGTGTCTATATTTAAGACGCAATTGACCAAGCAGATGTTGTTACAGATTTTTGTCTTTGATATGATAAATTTCCATTAATTTTGAAAATCTGGGTTTAAGGGATGTGCTTTCAAATTTTGCATAGTTGAGCTGCAATTTGTGAAAGTTCAAGCAGCTGTACTGACAAACGTTTGACAAATTTGTAGCTGAGGCTGTTTTAAGCAAAGTTCTAGAACTTTATGTTCTGTGTTTTATGTTCAGGCCATGTATTTGAATTTCTTCTCTTTTTGTGGGTCTAGAAGTTTGTGTATATGTATGTATGTGTGTATTCTTTCTCTCTGATGTATATGTAGGTTTGTATATGTATATTTGTATTATATACATATATATATTTTACATTGTGTGTCCAACCTAAGTTGGAGGTAAAGATGCATATTCTTCATTTTTTTAATAAAGATAGTCAATTTAAACTCTCATTTAATTTAAAATATTTTTCTTTTTGCGTAGGTTGAAGAAATTGTCGATATTGGATCATTTGCCCCAGAAGACATTCATATTCCTAAGATTTATGTACATCGCCTTATAAAGGGAGAAAAATACGAGAAAAGAATTGAGGTAATTGACTTACCTTGTTTGTCAGTATTTATGGATCTGACTGTCAAAGAGATGTGTCCCTGGAGATATTCCAGATGATAAGGAATTAAAGCTGAACAGGAAGTCTTGATTTGAATCTTAGTAGAAGCTTCTCATGTGTCCATCTTGAGGGGATGTCTGTGTGTCTAGCTTAGCCAGTGCCTTGTGTTTACGACATGTATATTACTAAGTTACATGATTCTCTAGACTTTTCTCACAGGCTTTTGTAACTGTTCTAATTTATAATGCACAGTTTTGGATGGCTGTCCTGAAAGGTAGAGAACAATAATCAGGCCTTTGCTTGCTTCACCCCTGCTGGACTTTTAGTGTTTGAGTGTTCAGAGCTAACTATCCTGATGTCTTTGCATGTTTCCCCACAGTGTTGAGCTCTGGGCAGGTGGTGGATAGATATGAGATCATGGTAAGGAGAGGCTACAAGGAGCATTGGAGGTATATACTAAGGCTACTGAGAGCATGAAGATCAGCTGGATCAGAGTCGATATTAAGATTCAGAAATGTGTAGGGATCAGCAACAGAATAGACAAGCAGTAAGAGACCAGAGATTCAGAGATGCCCTCTACCTGTTGACATCAAACAGGAAGACACTGCAATCTAAAACTAATGTCAGGGGCCAGGGATCAAAAAGAGGACATTTGCAAACAGGGACCAGAGTCTGTGTCAAGGAGATCTAGTGATGGAAATAGTTTTTTGGCTGGTTTCTGGATATTTCTAAGATTTCTGTGATGCACTTATAGCAAAACCAGTCTCGACTCTGCAGGTGGAAATAGGCGATTGGCAGCAGCAATGCTTGGTAAACACATTCTGACAGCGCCACAAAAAAAACAGTTGAAAGGTCTGTTTGTTTTCTTTGTTCCAGCTGTATCCCTGAGCACCCGAGGAGAATTCAGCTGTAGGACTCTTAAGAGTAGCAGTAGGAGCACTCAGTGTGGCAGTGATGGAGGAATTATTCGCTTCAGAGATAGAACAAGTGTATCTTCCTCTTCAAACAAATCTGACCTTTCAGTTACTTCCTAAAGAATTATTTCTATCATCAAGTGTCATCCATGTTACTCTTCTTTTGTTAAAAAAACCATCTATATTATATTGCAGATTTGCTTCCTGTTAGTAATGGGGGAGAGTTAAAGTTTTTTCCAATACAGTTTCGTATTTCAGCAGTGATAAAATAAAAGGCATACCTCAACCATGAATAATTTATTTCTGTTTATTTTAAAGCGTTTATCAATCCGGAAAGAGGAAGATATAAAAACCACATCTGGTAAACCTGGAGATAATGTCAGGGAACGTATCATCAAGCGGGCAGCTCTTGAATTTGAGGATGGCATGTATGGTATCCTTTATTCCTTCTGCGGCTGAGCAAAGACTTAGCCCTTTTTACATATTCATCAGGTTACTAGACTTCCTGCTTAGGGATTCTTTTCTAGTCCATTGTAGCTTCTAAAGCAACTGATCAGTTTTTACAAAATGTGGCATATAAACTAAAGATATAAAGATAAATGAAATTGAAATTATAATTCTTTTACCTTCTTGAAGCAAAATAGTGATTGAAAATTTGCTTAGCTATTCTCTGATATACAGTGAATTTCAGTTCAGTTTGGCATTTGGCTAAAGTTAATTGGGAAAAGAGATTACCCAAGATGAAGGTTTAAATTCTCAGAAGTACTAGTTGTAACTAATGCTATTTGCTTTCTCTGTGTTCTGACATTTATGTACTCATTTGAAATATAAGATCCAATTTCTTAACAGCCTCTTGTTTCCCATGACAAAGATCCCTGTGAGTGTACTCTTTTATGTCTGATGTTTTGTATTCAATGAATGATTCAAATTCTGCTTTAGATACTTTGTTAAGAAAGAGGTAGATAAAGTGTTTGGATTTTGAATGTGTTTAAATGTCAGTGAGTCTTTTTGCCCTTTTGCTAATTTTTGAGACGTTAACCATTGAACTATATGGCACAAATAATATTACATATACATTCAAATAATGTATGATAAGGTAAATATTTGTTGAATGGTGAATACAGTAAAGCCATACTTAAAGTCCTGGGACAGGAAGTAGAAACATGACATGTGTATCCATTCTCTGAACTTCCTCTAGTCCTTAAAAACCTTCTTTCAGACTGATATTGACTGGGAAAACTCCCTTTTTTTTAACTTTCTTCTTACCTCCATCACTTCATTTTTTTTTTAATCTTTCAGTTTATGCATTGGTTGATGGTGGGAATTCGCACAGGGAAGAGAATATTATAGTGCCTCCTTTTTCAGCTTCCATATCAGCAAGATACAGACAGAGTCAACCAGATTGGCTGAGCAGATGAAAGCTTGTCTGTGGGTTTTCTTTTTACCTCCAGTCAACTGGTTTACCGTTGGCATTTTAACACTGACTATATGATAACTCTGATTTTAGAGGTGTTAGCTTCTCTTCTAGATATCCTTAATTCACTGTCATTGTGTTGCCTATGAAGAATATTTGCAAGTCAGTTCATATAGTGGTCTTTCCACAGCACCTGCTCTTTTTCAACCCAAATTGCATGGACTTTTTTCTCCCTGGTATTTGACTCACTAAATAATATTAAAGAACTGAAAATTACAGCATATGATAAGAGAGTTGAAGTATAAAACTTGTAATTTGGATTGCCCTTTCTTGAAAATAAGCTGCTTATAATGGAATCAGTACCTCAGTGTGTTACATGCATCACTGAGAAACACAATTAACTGTACGCCAGATGGTTTGGTAGGAGGTAATCCAAGTAGCTATCATCGTAGTTTCATAGACTCACTATGTTCACTGGAGGTGACCTGGCACATTGGGTTGTTTTGCTGGCCTTTGTAGTTTATAATATGGTACCATGTACAAACTTTATCTTTTCTGGCCTTGATTCTTAAAGCACTCCCTGTTATTAGAATCTCATCAGAGTGCTGTTATTCTTTAATTCTCTAAGAGTCTATGGTGTGCAGTAGTGGACAGCATGGACAGCAGTTCCAGACAGTGTCAGTTGCTGTTGTTTTTTTTCTTTTGGGCCATGCTGTAGCTTGTGGGGTCTTAGTTCCCCGACCAGGAATCAAGCCAAGGGCCACAGCAGTGAAAATGCCAAGTCCTAACCATTGGATGCCAGGGAATTCCCACAGTCAGTCAGTATTTCTGATCTGGTCAGCTGCTTTGATCTTGAGAGGCAAGATCAAATTCACAGCACAGCACACAAGTCAGGACTTTGATCATCTGAAGAAGGTTTAATAGCCTCAATTAGCTCTTTTAAAAAAAATTGATTGAAGTATAGTTGACTTACAGTGTTGTATTTCATTTCTACTGTACAGCAGAGTGACTCAGTTATGCATACATAGATTCTTGTACAGATTGTTTTCCATTATGGTTTGTCATAGGATGTTGAATATAGTTCCCTGTCCTGTACAGTAGGGCCTTGCTTTTTATCCATTCTGTGTATAATAGTTGGCATATGCTAATCCCAGTCAGTTAGCACTTAGATGCTGTAGCATAGCTTCTTTTTAATAGATGGTCTCAGATGTATTCACTGAAACTTAAGCACCCCACCATCCTCTTTATGTCTTAGAGAAGTTTCAGTTACCAATGGATGTTATTACAGTGACCCAAAGGAATCCATACAATTTAGGTAGACATTTTGGTGTTTTCAGAAAACTTTGTTAAAATTCAAACACAGAAGCCCCTTATAGAATATTTTAATCATCTTTAGTTTCAGTTGGAGTTTCAAATAGTGAAAAATGCTTTTAAACAAAGCTCAGGCCGTGTTATATCAGTCAGCAGTCATAGTACATATATCATAATATATTAGCCCTAATACATAGTATATAAGTCATAATACAATCCAAAAGTTTGCTAAATGTATCTTACAATAAAAATGACCTTTTGATTAGTTTTCTGAAGCCACTACTTTGATAACTGCATGGTGAAAGCTGTGATTATTTGAGAGATTTTGTTTTTGAAAAAATTACAAAATAGTACCTAGAGAGTGGTGGGAGAATACATTCAGAAAAAATGCCTTTAAACACTTCTGTGCAGATTTATTCATGTAGAAGATTTATGACATAACCTCTCTACCTTCTGTACGTTGGACCTTAACATCTTTTATTCCAGCCAATTTGGGTATAGGAATACCACTTCTGGCCAGCAACTATATCAACCCCAATATGACTGTCCATCTGCAGAGTGAAAACGGAGTCCTGGGTTTGGTAAGACAGAAATTAAAGCTTTATTTATCCAGTCTCGATGGAAAATGAGATATTTTATGTAGTGCAGTCTTCTTAGAGTTGTTAGCTTAGATTTTCCATTCTTATTTTTCTTTCTCTTTTATCCTCATAATAAAATGTTTAACTTTTCCCATAAAGTAGTAGTACTTATGAACATGTCCTGTCATATTTTATGGAGTAGATGGTAGTTTCCCGACTCCATGAGCTTTTCAATTGCTCCTCATTTATCACTGTATGAGCTTCCATCTCCCCTATTATACCCACTTCAGAGACTTCACACCAGCCTGTTCAGATAAACTATTATTAACCTTTGTGTGATTGCACAAGATAATGAAGGTTATTAATAATTCTACATTAAGTAAAAATCAGCAAGTCTCAGCATGAGAAACTGAAGAGTAATTTTCTATTGATCCTTTAGAACAGGACATTTTTTGACAGTTGGCTAATTCAAAAAGTTCTCATGTAATAATCATTTTAAGGCCATGTTGTTCAAAAGGGTAGAATTTTCCCTTTCTCAAGAATAACTTTTCAAATGGGCTCAATATTGTCATAGAATTTGACCATTCCTTTTATTTTAATATTTATTTAACATAAAATTAAATACTTTAGCTTCCTGAATAACTTTTATTTACTTATTAATTATGGCAGAGATTACTTATAGTCTGTCAATTTATAATATTCCTAATCTTTTATTGTTTCTCAGTAGATCTTAACTGTTAATGCAGTACAAATCATACATATGGAAAATGTATATCCAGCACTTAAAATATAAATTATGGTCATGAGCATGTAGTTTATTCTGATTGAGGCAATGATTGTGACCATTTTTGAGAACACAAAAATGGTAATAGTCTGGATAAAAACAGATTCATACTGCAAAGACTCACATTTTTCAAGTTCCTTTGAGATTATCTAGAGTGACCAGATCCCTTATTTTGAAGACAAGGGAAATAAGTTGATATGCGTAACTATGATCACTGTCTAAAGAAAATTTTACACAGGTCTAAAACATTAGTTACCATTTCAGTTTATTTAAAGAATACATTTTTTATCCCATTTTTTGAAAGTATGTTAACGTTTCACAGCCACCATTTCCTCTTTCTTGGCTCTAACTTAGACCTTTTCTTTTCTCTTTTTCTATTTCCTCTCTTTTAGTTTAATATATGTTATGTTATGAAACTGCTCACCCTGTTCAAGTTATTAGAGATGGTTTATAAAAATACATAAAAAATAAAAACTTAGGATTATCAATCAAAGGGAGAGTAAGGGTATCAAAAAGATGAGACTTGCTTCTTCAAATCCTTCTAGCCCAATAAAGTAGCCATTTAGTTTGTATTCATTGGTACACTATAGCATAGACTGCATAGTAGATACTAAATAATTACTTTTTTATTGACCTGTATTTCCAGTAGCTTAACATTTCTTTCAGACTTTGGTAGTTTGAAGAAACTATTTTTCACTTACCAGATCACACTTATTAGCATAGAAGAGACTAATCAATGTGAGAAACAGAGCCATGAAAACATCAGGATTACTTTGAAAAGGTTCACCTCTAAGTCTTCTGATAATCATTTCCTGAGGTTTTAAACGAAATTGTTTTCATTAAAGTTTTAGTGTGTGATTCAGTGAGAAACTTCTTTTCCTAACTGGATGTGTGCTTTATTTAACAGGGTCCATACCCATTAAAAAATGAAGTTGATGCAGATCTAATCAATGCAGGTAAAATAACTCATTACATGTGCTTCCAGCATTTTCCTTTGCTATTAGTTTCGTTATCTGCCAAATGGTATTAGAGTAAGGAGTTGGGCTTGATTCTTTGATGTTTCCTGGAGAATATGTACTGTACTTTACATGGAGGAGGTGAAAGAAGCCTTCCCACTGCCATCTTGGCCTGCTTGCCCATCAGAGGCCTCCCCTATTTAGGGCAGAGTAAGATATAGGAGAAATTGCAGGAGGGGCTACATGAAATGGCAGGAGCTTTGGTGGGCCAATCAGGCGCCACCCTGACTGTGCACAGAAAATGCTCTCAGGTGGGGTAGCGAGGAGAATTAAAGGAAAGGATAGTTTACAGGTGTCATCAGGGTTAAGGCACACCAGAAAGAATGCTGAAGTACCACAGGGAGTTTTTATCACCCTTGGGCCTTAAGGGGCAGCTGTGGGAGAGGGTCACCAGACAGGAACCAGGGTCTTTGTGGGGGAACACAACCATATTGCAGAAAGCTGGGTGAGGGTGAGAAAGGAGTCTCCTTTCTCACCTTGCTTCTTGCTCTGCCTCCTGCTTGTGCCTCCACTTGGCTGACCCCAGGCCGAACTATATCTGTATTCTCATGATGAGACGGTGGGAAGTGGATCCATGGTGGCAGCCAAAACCAAGATCTGGGGCTCTGGGGTTTTTGTTGTGGGTGATACGTTCTGTCCTCTAATCCAGGGGTCCCTAACCACTAGGATTCAATACCTGATGATCTGAGATGGAACTGATGTAATAATAGTAGAAACAAAATGCACAGTATATGCAATATGCTTGAATAATCCTGAAATCTTCCCTCTACCCTCTGGTCCATGGAAAAATCATCTTCCACGAAACTAGTCTCTAGTGCTCAAAAGACTGGGGATTGCTGCTCTAATTGACATCAGAGTTAGGAGTTGTTTGTTGATTAGTTGCTAAGTTGTGTCCAACTCGTTTGTGACCCCATGGACTGTAGCCTGCCAGGCTCCTCTGTCCGTGGGAGTTCCCAGGCAAGAATGCTGGTTAATAGAGCATCCTTCAAAACTTCAAGGGTACTTAAGGATGTAATCTGCTACTCATTGCAATCTAGTGATATAGGTGATAAATACAGAGTTTCTTTGATTTGGAAACTCTAGCCTGTCTTCTCCTATGTTCTGGTATTCATACGCTTTGCCTTTTATTATTAGCCTTTTATTTGATTGGGACAGAGTCACACATTGCAGCAGCCTGGAGAAGGAGGAAAAACAGGTCAGACCTTTTGGCTTCCATCACTGCCTATACTTGAGGCAATACTGCCACCGTGTTGGAGCTAAAGATTTTCCTTAGAATGGAGCTTCCCATAAGCTTCCCATAAAATTAGAAGCTAATTTTTATATTCCAGCATGATTTTCTTTATCCTTCTTTTACTCCTATTCACTCTACCCCCACAAAAGTATAATTCTTACTTTGCGTTCAAAAATAGTATGTAAATTTCTGAAGAGAAGCAACAGGAACTGAATATAAAGCCCAGCTGCCAAGTAGAATTGATGTCTAATACTTAGGATTTTTGGAAGTAAAACAGCTTCTGGTTGAATAGTTGAATTAGTTAACACGACTTAGCTCTGAAAGGTGCAGTGTGATAAAGCAATGACATTTAACCAAGGCTGTGATTTAATTGTACTGTACCCTTTAGCAATAACTCATTGATCTGTGAAAATATTTGCTGCTTGGTTTAATTAATTTATGATGTTAGTGAGTTATTTGCAAAATGAATAACTCCATTTTCCAAATTTCAGGCTTGAGCTCATAAAACCCACTTTCTTTGGAAAGTAGTTAATCTTTTCAATGACATCATTGGAGAGTAGACATTTCTGATTCCACTGAGCTTAAAAGTAGCTCAGTCCTAATGAAGCCACCAGTTTAGATTTCAACTTCTGAAATATCATATATAATCTTAAAGTACTTTGTAAAACCAGAATTCATTGCTTTTGGGAAGCCAGGCTGTAAATCAGTGTAATAGTATTCTATCTCTTTCATCAAAGTCCTCTTTGGGATTTATGGTGCTTTTGCCTTTGGTGCTAAGTTAGAGGGGAAATACTTTGAACTCCAGAACCCAGAATATAAATTGATGATTTCCTCTACTCCCCAAGTTTGGACATAACCAGGAAGATCAGCCCATTGTTTGTGTTCATTTGAAAGGATTTTCATAGAAATCCATTAGAACAAAGACAGGGAGTTATGTTTCTGGGCATAAAAAGTGTATTAAAATAATAATTAGAACTATTTCTAAGAATACTTTTTTCTAAATAATTTTATATGGATATGTAACAATGAATGACCACTTGTATAGAACCACATAGTTTACAGCATATTTTTTCACATATATGATCAATATATCATTTGAGTCTCAAGTGAAAACTTTTTATACACGTTGGGAAACTGAAGCCCAGAAAAACCTCAAGATGAGGTTGCTAGGGACAGATTCACATGTAGTCTCCTGCTCTTGGCCCCAGGCCTTTTTCTCTGCACATTGAGCTACATCCACTGATAACTTGAGAATTTACAAAGGTACGGAGGCAGTATTTAGAACATTTCTGAGGCCTCAGGAATATTTGCAGTATCCTAGTGCAATTGTGAAATTTCTAATAAATCTCATGTTAGCTTACATATTAATGTGCATTTTGCAATCTTTCTTATTTCTTAATATTTTTCTTATTTTAATATCAAAATGTTTTTAATGACTTCTTCTTGTTCATTGTTCAGTCACTAAGTCGTGTCTGACTGTGCGAACCCAGGGACTGCAGCATGCCAGGCTTCCCTACCTTTTGATTAAAAAACTACTTACAAAGACTTAGCAACTAAACAACAACAACGACTTAGAAAGAACCATGTTAATCTCATGGCTTTTGAATATCCTTGTTTCCTGCCATGTGTCTCTAGAGCAGTGGCTTTCAATGGGAAAGAGGGGTGATTACGCCTTTCTGGGGACATTTGATAATGTTTGGAGTGCCAGTGTTACTGGAGTTTTATGCAAAGGCCAGGGATACTGTTAACTATCCTACAATAATCAGGGCAGTTTCCAGCCCCCAACATCAGTAGTATCTGCTCTAGAGGTCTGTGTGCCACATCTGAAGAATTACAGGCCTGCAGTCTAAAGTACAAATAGTACTGCATTCAGGATCTCTCTAATGATTGTGATTGACCTTTCCAGATTTATCTTTTGCTATAGCTGAGTCCACCCATACTGAACTGCTCGATCTGTTTCCTTCCTCCATGACTTAGCTCTTTCAGTGCCCTTCCTTTTTTGTTTTGTTCTATCCCTTCCTTTTTCATCCCCATCTCTTTATCAGTAATGCCTAGCCTTCAAGTCCTAGTTCATTTGTCCTCTCCAAATCCTCTTGCGGCTCAGAAGTGCTTCTCCTTTGAACCCACAGCACATTAAGCATCTCATAAGCATACCATATTTTGCCTTGTTATTATTTGTGTATATTCATCTCTCTTGCTTTGGTTTAGGGCGTGCACGCTTGCTTGGTTGCTACAGTCATGTCCGACTCTTTGTGACGCTATAGACTGTAGCCCTCAAGGCTCCTCTGTCCATGGGATTCTCCAGGCAAGCATACTGAAGTGGGTTTCTGTGTCCTCCTCCAGGGGATCTTCCTTATCCCGGAATTGAACCTGTATCTCCTTCATTGCAAGCAGATTCTTTAACCACCTGGGAAACCCTTGCATAGGGCAGCAATTCTCAAAGTGTGGTTTTCAGAGCTACAGCATTGGCATCCCCATCACTGGGGACTGCTTAGAGATGAAAGTTCTCAAACTCTGGGAATTGTGCTCAATTTTATAAGCCCTCCATGTGATTCTGATGAGTGTTTGAGAACCATTTGTCTAGGGCATCTGCATTTTGTTTTAAGGCACAGAGTAAACATTTACTTGTTATTGAGTGAATAACTTATGTCATGAGCCAAATGACTCAATAACTATGCAATTGGTTAATTCTGGTGCCTGAATATCATTAGAGGATGTAGACATATACAGAGGAAAGTTGAAAAAGACAAATAATTAGGAAAAGCAAAATACGAAAGCCTTTTTTCTTTAAGATATTGATTGTATTATTGATTATAATTATTTAACCAAATTAGGACACTGTATTTGAAAAGCATTGATATCAACCTTAGGATATCCTATTTTTATTTAGATTTTGGGATATTAAAAATGATGAAAATTAGCTTTTTTTCCAAAGAATATATTTATAAGATACCAGAATATATTACAGGGGGCCTGACAATAACTTTCATAAGAATTATTTTCTGGGCTCTTTAAAAAATACTATCCTTGATAAATCACATGGGGAGATCGGAAGCTCTGTGTGCATTGATCTCAGAGTTTCCTTTACAGTAAGTGGTAAATAATGCCTCTATATACTGCCAGCCAGTAGAGATAGCCCTTTGGAAGTCATTTTGATTTATCACATAGAGAACAAAGAATTGAGATTTTTGTTTCTTTGTTTGTTTTGCTTTTTCAGCCTACAAGATCTTCTCTGCCTCTCCATCTCACAGGACTGGAGAGGAACTGTATTTTCTGGACGTGACAGTGGTGTTAGGATAAGGCTTAGTTGTATTCTGCTTGTCCTGAAACCTGGAGTTCACACGCCAGTATATAACCGTATCATAAAAGCTCATTGCTTGCCCCTGTGGCCTTTATCCCTAGAGGGTTGATGGCATTGTCCTTTTCACAAGTAGGTTTGGAGTGAGGAATAACAGTGAAAATAATATTAAAAATTAATGTTCACAGAGTGCTTTCTCTGTGCCAGGTCCTAGAGTAAGGGCTTTACATGCATGATTTCATTTAATCCTTCAAATCTTATGTGCTGTTTACAAGCCAGCCCTTATTAATCACACCAGACAGTATTTTCCAAAGCTTTTCAGCTTTATGTTCCTTTAAAAGAGGTGAAAATGTTTCCTTTGTTTAGAATCAAACTTTTGGGAGTCAGTAAATAATTCATCATGATATAGATAATCATGCTTTATATGTGAGCTCAGGTGGAGGGTGATATTGGTGAAGTTAGCTCTTGGACATGACTTGAGAAGTTGAGGGGATAGCTGTTGCACATCTGGGTACAGTCAGATTACTCTGGTCCTGTTATATCCAAGAACTTTGCTCTCTTCCAGTCTTGGAATCACTTTTCTTCCCCTTCTTCTTGTCTGCCCTATTACACTGGGGCAGTGGCATGCAGTGTCCTCAGACAGTTGACTTAACCTTTGGCAGAGTGGCATGTGAACACCTTTCTGTTGAGACCAGAAGCATCTCCTGGGTAGCTCAAGCTCCTGAATAGACAGGTTACAAGAACTAAGTAGCTCAGGTTTGAGTTAGGTTATATTATTGCTTGTGTAGGGATTGGATGACCTTGAAGAACTTTTCTAGTTCTGAGTTTTTATTATGGGATGTAAGTGTTGGGAGAGGTCCTTCTAAGAGGACCTTTTCTGGTTATTAATAGAAATTTACCAAAGCAAGGGCAAAAAGATGAAGCAGAGAAAGAGAGGTTGAAAGAAGAGATTCAGGCCCAGTGACGTTAAGGAATTAGGTGGAACCTCTCTTTAGATTATTCGTTGATTTTTTTTTTTTAATTATTTATTTATTTATTTATTTTTATTTTTTTTTTTTATTAGTTGGAGGCTAATTACTTTACATCATTGCAGTGGTTTTTGTCATACATTGAAATGAATTAGCCATGGATTTACATGTATTCCCCATCCCGGTCCCCCCTCCCACCTCCCTCTCCACCCGATCCCTCTGGGTCTTCCCAGTGCACCAGGCCCGAGCACTTGTCTCATGCACCCAACCTGGGCTGGTGATCTGTTTCACCCTAGATACGTGTTTCGATGCTGTTCTCTTGAAACATCCCACCCTCGCCTTTTCCCAGAGTCCACAAGAAATATTTGAGAAGCATCTCCTGTGTCATTCCCCTCAAGCTGTATTTCTTCATGTTTATTCTACAGTGTTTCAGTCCAGTGACTTACAGTAGCATTGGGTTCTGACAGGTGCATCCCAGGAGCCCCTTTCTTCTTTACTCCTATTAGCATTTAATAGAGGCTTGTGAAGGGACTGGGTCTGATGGGAGACAGAGATGGTTATGTAATAATAGGCAATAGAGAAGTGCATTGTCTGTAGAGAATTTCAAAACAATAATAAAATGAAAAGTTGGTCTGCTTTTCACTATCCCCACGCAAGGGCAAATCTGAACAATATTAGTGACAGAACACTTATCTTCATAGGTTGATAGTTCCCATTGTGTCCCCCCATATCCCTGTTGTTGCTGCGTTTTGGTTAAGGGACACTTAGTTCTGTATGAAATAGAGAAGGTGTAGACCTCTGTCTCCACCATGATTTCCGCTCTTAGAAATCTAATAGCCTTTTCTTTCTTTTGTTTTCCCTGTCTTTGTATGTGTGTGTGTGTGTATGTAGGCAAGGAAACAGTTACTGTTCTTCCAGGAGCCTCTTATTTCTCCAGCGATGAATCATTTGCGATGATTAGAGGGTATGTAATAACGGAGCCCCTCATGTTTCCCACGGTGTGGAATGAGCTGAGTCATCCCTGAGTCTGTTAGCAAGACTCCGAAACATAACCACCTCTCCCAGCCTGAAAATGATCATGGACTTGCTTGGCTGCACCAAGATGTGAAATTATTCACATTGAATGTTGGCAGTTGGAACATACAGCCCGCAATTATTAAAAGAAACTTCAAAGTGGAATATATGTCTATGTGCCAACTAAACTGAAGTAAACATTTTTGAGGCTCTTTCTGAGGATCCTAACATTTTCTACAAACTTGTGTTTTCATTTTCTAGCTAGTGTTTCCTTCAAACCAAGCCACATTCTCCCTCACCAAAGGAAACAAACTCACTGTGTACACCTGTTTTTAATTTGTTTTTGGAGACAATATAGGCTATAATTTTTTAAAAGAACTCTTAATAGTTATTTTTCTACGTCAGCTTGAAGCCATTCTATTTGGAAATCAAGTGTTGGGTGGAGGAGAGCAAATATATTTGGGGGCAGGGGGAGTAGGATTATTTAATTGCTGGCAATTTCAAGCAAAAGGGACATAAAACATGGAAGTTTGCTTTATATTTCTTATTTGTCTTTCTCAGGGGACATGTCAATCTAACAATGCTAGGAGCCATGCAGGTTTCCAAATACGGTGACCTGGCTAACTGGATGATACCTGTAAGTAGGCATGTTTTCTTCTGAATTATGCCTGGGTTAGAATAATTGCTTTTGAAGTATTAATATTAAGAGAAATCTTGTCAGATTGCTATGAGTGCAAATATAATTGTTACAAAAATAAATATTGTAATATGTATTTCTTATTTCAAATTTTAATAAAAATCAAATTTCTAATTCTCCTGAAAAATATTTAGCTTTGCCAGTTTACTATGTAATTGGAACTAAAAATAGATAAGATCAGAGTCAAAGCATAATTTTCCCTAGAAAAACAGAGAACTTCCTCAGAAGGTAAAAAATATGGGTTGATTATACTCTGATAAAAGTAAGAAATACAAATGTTTATTATAACTAAGCTTTATAACTAGAAAGAGTAATTAATATGTTCATTAATTTTATGTTACTTGTATTATTTTCTTATTCACAGTGGTTAAAGTGCTCTCTTGATTAGTCATGTGACCCCATGAGTAATCAATCACATTGTCTTCTAGTACCAAATACAAAACCTCTGATATTTAAACATGTCTGTGAAATGCAAACAGTTTTCATTTACTAACGATCTAAATCAAGAAGAAACCTCTTTTTTTTTTCATTTATTTTTATTAGTTGGAGGCTAGTTATTTTACAGTATTGTAGTGGTTTTTGCCATACATTGACATGAATCAGCTATGGATTTGCATGGGTTCCCCATCCTGAACTGCTTTGGAAAAAAGACTATAATCAGTTGATTTATGAGTGTAGTTCTTTACATTCCAGAGTGTGGTTCTTTATATGTGTGGGCAAACAATAATGAGTGTCCATGATTATGAGCTCATTTTTTTCAGGTTACTCTTCTAATGTGTATCTTTAAAGATTTCTGTTTCTCTGAAGCTTGAGCTAAAAAATATTTTAACTGAGGTTGGTGTTCTATAATGAAAGGTTTTTTGTTTTTTTAAATTTCTTAGTTTTTCCTGCTCATTTTTTGAGGAGGGTGAATTAATGTAGTTGATAACAATGGTAGAGATTGTATTAGTTTAGCTTTTTTGAACTATGATCTCTTGAAACATTATTTTAAAATTTCAGTTATTATTATAGTTCTGGTTCTCAAACTTGGTTGCATATTGGAAGCACCTGGGAATTTTTAAAAATGGTGATGCCTCTGGCCCATCATTAGTTTCCAATTTAGTCTGGGGTATAACCTGGGAACTGGTCATTTTAAACGCAGTCCTGTATGGTGATGATACGTAACCACGTTTGAAAACCAAGTTTGAGTGTATTAAAGAATGATCATCAATCATATTTAAAATGTAAAGGGAAAATATCATTGACCCATTAATAGTAAGAACCCTTAGCAAATTATGTATTATATTGTTTTTCTAAATTAGCCATAGTTATAAGATTTGGCAACTTTTGGAGGCTTCGAAGAAATCAGGGGGTCTCCTGAGCATTATACAGTAAGTCAGATTGATACTTTATAGGAATGTTTATTTGTGTAGAAAGAGTATTTCTCTTTTCAAATTTTAGAAAAAGTCTAATAGAGGGTAGTAGAAGGAGCGTAAAATAGCATGCCCTGAGTTTTAGCCCCGACTCTAAGGTTATAATACATATCATAGAGCTTGACACAGTATATGCTAGATAAATGGGTTGTTACTATTTGATAAGTTAAGAAGGAGAAGTTGGAGATGCCTGGCAGAGGGCAGAAGAGGATTGGTGACTATGAACAGAAGCAAGAGAGTTCAAAGTAGAGTCTATTTCTCTGGACTGTTAGTGAGTTTTAAAATCACAGAAACATGTCCAACACATTTTTGCTTTCAGGGAACTTGGGCATCTTTAACAAGCTACTATACAATTTGTTTTTATTATGATTTAGCACACAGTGAGGCTGGAAGCTGTCATGGTGAGAGTAAGCATTATACAGTTGTCATTTGTAGGAAAGATTTTCCAACATGTATCATGGTTTTACATATCCTATGAAGATTCCTGTGAATGATGAAAACATCAGTGTTTATTACTTTGTAATTTTCCTAATACAGTTTGGAGCTCATGAGTTTGCAAAGGACTGGATCTAGTGGAACAGCGATAGAGAACTCTGGAGTTCTGAAGGGGTGTGGAGAACAATTAAGCTTAAAAAGTGTTCTTGTGTCTGGTTCCACTCTTTTGGTCATGGAAGTTAATAGTGTCTTTTCTGAATGAGCATTTCTTTCGTTCTTTTAGAATTTTATTTATGGCTATGCTGGGTCTTGATTGCTGTGCAGGCTTTTCTGTAGTTGTGGTGAGCGCTCCTCTCTAGTTACAGTGGATGGGTTTTTCATTGCAGTGACTTTTCTTGTTGGAGAGAACGGTCTCTAGGCACGCAGGCTTCAGTAGCTGCAGCTCTCAGGCTCTAGAGCACTTACCCACTAGTTGTGGTACATGGGCTCAGTTGATCCACAGCTGGTGAGGTCTTGCCAGATCAGGGATTGAATCCCTGTCTCCTGCATTGGCAGGCAGATTCTTTACCCCTGAGCCACCAGGGAAGCCCTCTTTTGTTCTTTTAGTAACTGATAATCACTTCTGGGATTCTTTGTATGTGATACATGGTATATATTTTGATTCCTTTGGATTCAAGATAGCTTAAGAGTCAAGACCATGAGCTTTAATTTGGAAGAGATCTGATTTGAATTTCAGCTCTACCCGTTAAAAATTACGCAATCTGGAGTACATGTTTTTGTTAGGATTAAATGAAAAGAAAATGAAAAGTGAAGACTCAAAGCACTCCATAAATAGTGGCTTTTATTTTTAACTTCTTCAATGTACTATTGCTAACATTGAGAGTGAATATTTGCCTCAAAAAACACTGGCGTAAGCAAGACTGTATTTTACAATAACTGTAAAACCTGTGTATCCAAATTCATATTCAAGTACCAGATCCGAGGACACATTTCTTGTTTTTATTGGTTATGTCCTCCTTATGTAGCTTCAGTGAGCTATCTATTTCTGTTTGCCCTAAAGATTTATGTTGATTTATAAAATTTAGATATATTTTTATTGCAAGACCTGGCAGTCAAGGCGCTGAAGGGTTCAGCTTTATTATATCATTTTTCATTTACTTTTATCTTTTTACTGAGTTTAATAATCTTTCAATGGTTGTAAAGTCTTGAGTTTCTCTGCATCGTAGCATCTCCATCAATCATTACAATGTCAGATTATAATAAACTTTAAGCTTTTAAGGCAAGCAAATGGTGTGGATGCTATTTGTCTTATCCTCTAATAGCTTCTTAGTATGCAGCATGGGTCCTGTTTTCACAGATTTTTGAAAATTCTGCCCTGAGCATACAAAGAGAGAAAATGTGACAGAACAGTGGTTGGCTCTTTCTAGTTCTCTGATGATGGTAACCCCTGGCAAGCTGCAGAAATATGAGAAGATGTGCAGTCCATTGACACTCCATCCAGAGCTGCTCTGGCTTTTCTAATGCTTATTTCTGGGAAATAGTTGCCATAGATGATAAACTTGTGAGGGGAAGTAGATGTGTATGACCTACTATGGGAGCTGGTTATTAAAAGCATGCAATAGCTGCCCTCTGTACAAGTTGCTGTATCTGAGCTGAACATAACAGCCAAGGGCCTGCTCCTTCTACACGGGGAGAACAGAAATGAGGGATTCTTGGGAAAAACACAAATAGGATGGTTAGGTGTTTGTTTTTCCCTCATACTTTTCATTTCTTTGTGCATTTTAGAGGATTAAGCACAAATCGACATCATATTCATGTATGCTATATGTATGAGTGCATAACATTGATTTGGTCTCCTAGATATGATGCCTGTTTTAAATAAGCTAATTCTCTAGTTTTCCTACTTGTACAGCTGAGGGGAAGGGGTTGTGTTCAACATTTAATCTCGTGGTTTAGATGCATGAAGTGTAGCCCATATATGAAACTGTAGGTACAGATACAGAAATATAAAGATTACTGTATGGATAGATACAGACATACAGATCTAGATAGATGTTTTAAGATACTGGTATCTTGTCCATTTGCCCCAGTGCTCAGGCAGCTGCAAATCATGGGCAAGGTAAAAGGACAGGTGGGAGATATGTGTGCTTCAGCAGTTACTCAGCAGTGCTTTCGCCCCATCAGTGTAATGTAACAGAAGCTGTAGAGAACTTTGGGGTTAGACATGCCTGTTCTTAAGTACTGAAGTGAAAGTGTTAATCGCTCAGTTGCTCAGTCGTGTCCAATTCTTTGCGACCCCGCGGACTGTAGGCTGAGCTTTCCAGGTGGCACTAGTGGCAAAGAACTCTCCTGCCAGTGCAGAAGGCATGAGATGCAGGTTTGATTCCCTGGGTCGGGAAGATACCCTGGAGGAAGGCATGGCAACTCACTCCAATATTTGCCTAGAGAATTCCATGGACAGAAGAGCCTGGCAGGTTACAGTTCATAGGGTCAAAAAGAGTCGGACACGACTGAAGTGACTTATTATGCACGCAGAGGCTGCAGCCCTCCAGGCTCCTCTGTCTATGGAATTGTCTAAGCAAGAGTACTGAAGTGGGTTGCCATTCCCTTCTCCAGGGGTTCTTTCTGACCCAGGGAGTGAACCTAGATCTCCCTTATTGCAGGCAGATTCTTTACCATCTGAGCCACCAGGGAAGCCTTGCTTAAGTACTGGTTCTGTCATTTATTGGTGGTATAACAAATTAGGTGAACCTTGATATATTCATTTCTAAAATGATAACATTTAACTCATGTGCTTGCTTTGGGGATTAAGTTAGCTCATTCATTCAACAAATATTTATTAGATGTGTATTAAGGGCCATGCTCTAAATTTCTCTCTAAGCACTGTATCAGTAACATCCCACAAATTTTTGTCTATTTTGTTTTATTATTATTCTCTTCAGGATCTTTCTAATCTCCCTTGTGATTTTTTCCCATGACCTATTGGTTATTTAAAAGTATGTCATTTAATTTCAATATATTTGGTGATTTTCCACAAAACTTTGTGCTAATTTCTAGTTTAATTCTCTTGAAGTCAGAGTACATACTTTACAT